TTGAGCAGACATCATGCTATTCTCATAACCTCTCCATCCCACTCAAACCCCCCCGTGACAAAACCACAACCTATACAACCCCAGAGGAACAGCGAAAGAGTGTCTGCATGCAGGTGTTTCGATGAGAGTTTGAAGGGCGGTTATTGCTGCTGTTCTGTGCTAATTGTGTCTGAATGACATTTGATCAGACTTTTATTTTACAGTCTCCACCTGTGGCTGGTTATCAGGTGAGGATTACAGGAGCAAATGTGAGCAAGAAAAAAATTGCACTGCTGTTTTATTTGAGATTCTTCTTTTATTCTGTGTGGACATCATTTTGATTGCAGTGGATTATCCTCTACGATGGCACATAATCACTGAGAATGCCCCTGTGAAGACAACTGGAGATGCAGGCTTCTTAGCATGCAGTAAGACTGCGGAAAGAGCTTTTTCTAAAACCGAAGGAGTACTTTTTCTGCTTAAACCCATCCATGTTTTTTCCCTATACCTGTGACTGTAGGCAGACCGAGCAGTCAAACTCATGTCATGGCCCCTTGTTTTGTTACGTTTGTTATTTTGCCCCTGCTATATGTGTTCCTCTGTTTAGTCTGTATGTTACGATACAGTTTTCTAATGTCTCATTAGTTTCACCAGCATTAAATTGTTTCCACCTGTGTCTCATTTCCAATGAACAAGCTATAGACAATGTTCTGTCTTCACTCATCAAGGCCCTGACCTCTGACAGGTTCAACATACCCAAACTTTTTTTTTAATCTGGATTCACTTAACCTATCATCAGTAATCAGGATAACAGTCGCACGGAGCGATATCAGCATATTGTTAAGGTAACCCAGGTATTCACCTGCATGTTTGCATTAAAGGGGCAACATTAGCAGTATCTGCCCAATCACAACAATGGATAAATAAACTGGTAGAAGAGTGACGAATGCTACAGAGGAAGAAAAATATTTGATACAAGAAAAATTCTTCCTACTTCTTTTTCTCTCTCTCGTGGATCCAGTTTTGTCTTCTTTGCCCTTTTGTGGGTTTAGAGTGTTTTCTATCACCTGGTAAAGTTTAGCGACTTTAGCTCAGAGGTTCAAAACTGAACTGAAAAAGAAAAAAAAAAGAGAAGGAAAACCTAGGATCATCTGAATAGAAGCATGAACGATGTCCTTGGTCAGCCTGGACAAGAGGACGTGAGGT